TTTGAAAGCAGTTTGAAATTAGTGATAACTGTTCCTTGGAAACCAGGATATTATTTGAGATGTAATATCAGCTAATAAAAATACCTTAGTTTGAATATAGCAACAACAAAAAAATTTATTATCTCTCCCTGATTGTTGAAAATATTGAATTCATTAATTATTACTATTATTTAATCAGTTATGAATCTTCTATTGAAATCACTTGCTAATTTTTATTTTTGGAAAATTTATTTTGCGTATCTCAAGAGTTCCATAACCCCAAAATGGATATTTACTATTTGGCTAGCACATAAATTACAACATTTTTTTCCAGTTGATTTGACTGTTTTTTCTTTCACACTTTTGGTAACTGACAAATCTTATGTTTCATTATAGTAATTAAAGATTTTATGTCTTTCAATGAGTTGACTTTTAAGTTTTTCCCACAAATTTCTAACTTTATTTTGATTAAAAATATAGATCCAAATTTATAGTTTCTTCTTTATATGTTACTGAATATGTAAAATATTAGAAATAATTTATGGTCAATTGAACAGAAATTTTATCTTCTAATTTTAATTAAGAGCATCTAGTTAATTTTAATTAAGAGCATCTAGTAAATACATTGTTATTAGGTTGTATGCCTATTTTGTATCTTATATATATTTTTAAATTTGATCAGAGTCTAAGATAGGTTCAGAGTATTTTCAGTTTCTGCTTTTCACCATTATTTTCTCCTCTGACGTCTTTTGACTCATATATTTAAAATCAACCACGTTAATCCACTTAATCTTTTTTTTTTGGTTAAAATCCTTTTGTGTTATCCTTTTGCAGCAGCTGTTTTCATTTATTTGTATTTCTCTATTATGTGTTTGTTCTGCTTGTTATTGTGAAGGTTCCTGAGTCATTCTGTTTTAGGTGCTTATCTTCTAACATGTAATTAGAATTTATTTAGACAGTCTGAGATCTTTCCTCTATTTTTATTTTACTTGATGAGGGGACCTACCAAATGGTTCTTGGGGGAACCAGGGTTCTCTCCCAGTAAGCTGCTGCTTATTGGGCTGGAGATTCAATGTGAGAGCCTGAAGCTCTGATTTTGTTTGGGCCTTCTGGTGACGGACACCTGGGTCATTTGGAGCTTGGAGACTACTGCTCCGTCTGACTCTGCTCAGAGGTTATATGTTGTCAGGGATCAAACCAGGGTTCAGCACATGCGTGTCATGTACTTAACCCCCATACTATTTTCCAGGTCTTCTTTTCTCTATTTTAACCCATTTATATTTATTATCAGGTCAAACATTTTTTACTACTTTTTTCATTTGGTTTCTGGGCCACCTCTGGCTGTGCTATGGGCTTACTGTTGGCTCTGTGCTCAGGGAAAACTTCTGGCAGAGGTTGGGAGACCATCTGGGGTTTGGAGAATCAAACCCAGGTTGGCCATGTGTAAGGCAAGCAACCTTCTATCTGTACTCTCTTTCCAGTCTCATTTTGGTCAATTTTTATCTCCCATTTTGAAATCATTCATGCTATTTCTTTTAAAGTATTGTTCTATGTACATTTTGTGTTCCTTTTCTCCACCCTATGGACTTTGCTTTGGGGTTTCTTTGTATTATTAAAAGACTTAATTAGATACACATTACAGTTCTTCAAGGAAAAGTCTTCTGTTGACTTCTCCCATTGCAGAGTAAGGCAGCTGCCACACTTCTATTTCTGCACACTTTCCTCTACCCCTGGAAGAGTTTTGCCTGTTAAATGTCTCTGGGAGACCCTGATATCTTAATAAACCCCTCTTCCAGAGTGATGTCATGCTGGTGCCAGATGCTCTTTTTGGTGTGACTGTCACTACCAGCCGCTTTTTATGATCTCTAGGCAGTCACATTTTGACTCGGTGATAGATCTCACTCTCTATGGTGCTTCTTCAGAGATTTGCTCCCCTCTCCATGTCTCCCTGCTCACATGTATCTCTTGGAACCCCAGCCCCACTGCCCCTCCATCATTGCTTGTGAACCCAAGGGCCCTCCCAGAAATACTTGGCCGAGAAGTTCCAGGTATGGTTGTGAGGTGTTTGGGTCTAGTGGTACTAGAGGTTACAAGGGACTCCCAGGGATGCTCAGGAACTACCAGGGACACTGCCATGCTGTTCTTGGGGCCATAAGGACTATATCCAGTGATGATCTGTGGGCCATGCAGTGTTAGAAATTAGGGTCTCCCACAGGGAAAGCATGTGATTATCCTTTTTAGCTATCTTCTTGGTCTCCGACCCCTGATATCTTTTTAGAAAAACTTTTTAATTGAATCAGTGTGAGATAGACCATTACAAAGCTGTTCATGATTAGATTTCAGTAATACAGTGTTCCAGCACCCATCCCTCCACCAGTGTACATGTCCCAGCACCAGTGTCTTCAGGTTCCCTCCCATCACCCCCACCCCCACCCCCTTCCTCCCTCTATGTCAGGCATTTTTATTCTCTCTCTCTCTCTCTCTCCCCTCCCCTTTGGGCATTGTGGTTTATACGGAAAGGTTATTAAGAATATTCTAAATCCCTAACCTGGAGTGACCATATGGAAGACAGTAAAATAAACTACAAAAGAAATAAAGAGATTCCATTGTTTTTTTTTTTTTAATGTTAGTCCCATGAACTGCCCAATATTGTATTCATAGACTTGAACTGAAGCTTCAAAGACATGAAGGAATAGGTCCCTTTTGTAGGTGTCTGACCTGGTAGCAGTGAAAATCAGTGATTTGGACCATAGTAATGGACATCCAACTGATTTTGACCTAGAAAGTGATTGCATTATGTGGTTCAACTTAACAGCAGAAAGAAAAAGACAACATATTTGAGAAATACTAGCAAGACAGAATGAAAAAAATGAATATGAGGAATAAGGTAGGAGGAAAGTCTCAAATAATCAAATCCCAATCTTAATTGGCTTTAGTGCAGTCTACAAGGCCCATATTTTAGGAAGAACAGACACTGGCAATGAGGGACACAGTTTGAGTGGGACAGTACTCCTATCCACTGCACATAGATAAGTTTAAGGCAGAAAATACAGGTCAGTTAATTGGAGAAGTGAAGCTGTTGTTCAGGTGAAAAAACTGGTGAAGAGTTGGCCTGGGGATTGGCTATGATTTGGAAGCCATTAAGAGGAAAGCGTGCCCTGTTTGAAGGGTGGATGGAAGCGAAGTGTTTACAGAGAAACTTGTGGTAGACTAACTCAGGATTAATAAGAAAAGGCTGTGAGAGTGAAGTAACATATGAGTCTAAATATGTAATGAAAAAAATATCTATTAGTGTTTGCCATGATAGTCAAGGGGAAGCTTGGGGGGGGGGTGAAGACTCCAGATTATAATGTATTGATGTGCTTGCAGTGGAAAATTAAGAAGTATTGAAAAGGTAGACAGAAAGATAGTACAGTGGGTAGAGGATTGCCTTGCATGCAACCAACAGGATTTGATTCCTAGTATCCCATATCCTGGGCACCACCAGGAGTAATTCTGGAGTGCAGAACCAGAAGTAACCCTTGAGAATTGTTGGATGTGGCTCCCCAAAAAGTTTTGACAATCAGTGTAGCTAAAACTATAGAGAATGTTAAATGTGAAATATGGCTGAACTATTCCACAGAGGAATTTACAGCCAAAGAGTAGCTTTATAGGAATAAGAAAAGCCCAAGCATGTATGTATTCTAAAGGCAGAAATGAAAGGGCTCTTTGAAGAAACAGGATAGAGAGAAAGAACCAAGAAGAAGCAAGAAAATGCAAACTACAGCAAGGGTTGGCATCAAGAATAGAACTGGGCCTTGTATTTAGGAGGTAGTGGTAGTTCTGAATGTATTGGGCTAGAAGAAGTCAGCCCCTTCCTGCACTCTTCCCTCTTGAAAGTATGGGTATCTGCTGAGATCAGATGGGCAGATGCTTAAAGAGTAACACTGATATGGGAACAGGAGAAGAGCAGGTAAGTGTTTTCAATAGGCTTAGTCATTTTGAAATAAGCATAGAAAGAAATTAGGGCTTTAGGTAAGCTAAGAATTGGAATTATCCAGTATAGTGGGAAGGGAACTTGAAAAAAGAGACTCCAGGCAGATATACAGATTCCAGAAAAGTTGAGACCCCAAATGCCCTAAGAACCTAAGAGGTAGAAGAGATATGAATCAGGAAAACAAATTTGGGTTGCAGATGATGCTCTTTGCAAGAAGGCTGAGCTTCCAACGTCTGTAGTAGTGAAAACCAGGATGAGTGTGAATAGTTGATTGGACAAGGATATGTGTATGATTACATTTAATTGGGCAAGCATGAGTATATGACAGAAGTTGATTCTACAAGTTTATGCAGTTGATAGGAAGGCCACTGGAATTATGGAGGTGAGTGGTGGTGTTCACACTGTTACATAGATATACAGGGCTCCTCAGTGAATAGGGAGGCTGGGTGATCAAAAAATTAAAATGACAAGCAGTTTGGCTGAGAGACAATATGGAGAATTCAAATAACTTGTTGTCCTTTGATTCCCAAATGTCAAAAATTATACACAGGGCATATTTTTAAGAGGTTTTATTATGACACTTAAATGGAATACGTTCTGGGGATGAGAAAAGAAAACAGGATAAACCCTCCTTTGCTTATGGTTGCTTCCAAGATAAGCTCCCTCACCTGTCATAAGAAAGTTGGGATATTAGGAAATAATTCTTCTCTGTGCTTCACTTGAAACAACAATGGAAAGAGTATATAGATTGGGGTCTCTAGGCCACATCTGGACTGTTTTTCCTGCATCCAAGCGTTAGTTCTGAAATCCATTAAAGATGTTCCATGTGGCTGATTCTTCTTTTGCAAGTCACCAGAGTGTGTGCTTCTTACCTCGTTTGGAAAATCCAAGTCAATGGCCAGAGTGGCCTCCTTGCCTGCTGTAAAGGCTCTTGGGGTGGTTCTGATTGATAGCAGAAACAAAAAGGGTTTGGGGGCTGGGCAGCTTCCTGTGATAATGCCTACAACCACTTCTGCGAAATTGACTCCCACCCTGTGTGTTGCAGGTGATATTTGAATCCGTCTCTTTGAAGGGTCATCCTGGCTACATCGCTGTGGACGAGGTCCGGGTCCTTGCTCATCCATGCAGTAAGTCTGTTTCGTCCTCTGAACACAGCCTTGCTCCATGCCAGATTGGTGAGCGTGGAAGCAGCACCCCATCCCCCACCCCATGTACTCAGCTGACAAACATCTCTCACTCTCCCTCTCTCTTTTTTAATCCTTCAAAAGTGCTTACATACTCAATGCAATCAGTCCTGAATAAATCCATAATTTTGCTGGCCTGTTCAACAGGCAGCACCTACAGGAATTTGCAGAGAGTGGCAAAACATCTTCGTTTGAATCTCTCTCCATTATTAAGGGAGTCTAAAGTCCTGATTGTTTATTAGTGGGATTCAGACCACTGAAGTGGAAGAATTAGAGGGCTTTGGATAGAATCTTGTGCAATTGTCTTTAAAAAAGAACACCACCAAAACACTGCGCAAATTAGCACACTGTTCACTCACAGGGAAAAGTAGCCCAAAGCTATTAATTCTTTAAAAGTAATTTTAAATATACTCGCCAGCTTCATGTAGGCGTCGGGAGAGATTTCTCACAATGGTTAGTACTTATGTGTTAAGACTCCTCAAAACCATCCCACACCTCCATCCATGCTCATCCAATTTTCCCCAGGACTTCTCTCCTGGTTGTAGTTCATCTATGGTGGTTGAGTGTGTTTGAAGGAACTCTGATTTCTGGGTTCACAAAATCTCAGAGTGAATAGCCATGGGTGTGATAGTTGAGATGGTATCTTGTCTCATGACATTTGATGGTGGGAGACTCTAGTCCAAGGGATACATGTGGGGATTCTGACAGTCCCTAGGAGGGCAAGTTGGGATGCCAGCCCCATTAATTAGTTCATTAGTGTTCTGCATGCTGGAGATTTCTATTAGTTTCTTGGCAGCCATTTGCTTCCAGAGAACTCCAAGTAGGGTTCTCTCTGCTCACACCTTGGAACTAGCAGTCCCGTGGTTGACTTTGGTGCAGTTTGTTCTTCCTTCCAGAGTTGTCTGGTGCCCTATTTCTTGCTGCCTTTCAGTTCTCCCACTTGGGGGCTCTGCTCATTTCTGCCTCATCCATAAGTGAAATGACTCCACTTCTGCTGCAGTGAAATGTGTAAGCGTCTTGAACATTACTTCCTTCCCTTAGCATTCGAAAGCCATTGTTGGACTCATTGAGAAACCTTCTCTGGAGGAATTTGAGACAAGTTCCAAAGGTTTTGTTGAGATGATATTTGAATAAATGTGTTTAGTGTCTGTGCCAAGGGAGACAACTTTTCCAGAAATCAGCCAGCATCTCAGGGATGCTTAGGTTCTCCTTGGGCCTCAACAACTCCGGACTAACTTCCCTGCTAGGTGCTCTCCAGAACTTTCAGGATTTCATCAATGGGACTCAGATATTCCATCAAATATGGCAGTTTTTCTGCTGAGCCAGTTCACACATGAAGAGGGCTTCACAAATGCCGCTAGCCAGGCACAGCTTATGTATCAGATATTCAGATACACTCTCAGGCAAACTGAAATGTCCCCTCCCTCAGATCTTAGGTGTGAGCATCAGATACCCATTAGAAAATGATCTTAGCCTAGTGTCTAATGCCTGTGGTCCACATAACCTCACATGTTCCACCTGCACAAACACTAACTATGAGATGATCTCTCTGAAACTAACCTCCAGCTTTCCCATCAGTCCCTACCCCATCTTTATAGAGGACACATCCTATCTGCATTCCTGCCCGTGACCCTGTACATGATGCTTAACTGGCTCTATTAGGGGACATTTGAATTTTCCAGGGAATCTGCCCCAGCTCTCTCTCTTTGCTCTCTCTCTCTCTGTCTCTCTGTCTCTCTCTCTCTCTCTCAGTGCCCTACAACTCTGTGTTCTAAAGAAGCTTTACATCTCCCCCTTGAGAGTCAGCCTTACCCCTGTCTCAGTCCCAGCCATATCCCTTCCTTTACTATCAGAGTCAAAAAGGTAATGGTTACCCTTACTGTCTAGTTCTTACTACCTTCTGAGAAGTCTCCATGAGTGATGGTGCTATGCCTCTCTCCTCAACAAAAGCCCATGTCTTCTCTTAGAATCCTTGCATTGGGACATCCCCTGAATTGAAGGTTCTTTCAACAGTCTTATCTCCTGCTCAGGAGAGCAGTTTTCATGATGGTCTGAAATCACAAAGAACAGGATACCCAGAAAATGGGCCATGAGATGTCACACAGGAACACATGATCCTTGCTTGTATTGTGTTCCTACATAATGTGCTTTGGCCAAGTCCAATCTTGATGTTTAGGTAGTTTATGTTTACACTTCCCAGAAATCAAAATGTAGGTTTTCTGTATAGTGACTGAAAGTAGAAAGACCCCATTGAACTGGAAGTATATTTAGTTTTCAGAACATATGCATAGATCCAGAGACATGTGAGATTGAGCAAAGCTACCAAAGGCCTTTTTCCAAGAACCTGGCTTAGTCCCTATCCAGTCTAGTTTCCTTCTCATCCTTTTTTTTTTAACAAGTAAGGTATTGAATATCAGCTTTCTGTCAACACTTCTTCTGGACACAGAGAACACATAGGTGATCAAAATGGAATGAAAACTTGTTCTCAAGGTATTAATTTAGCAGAGTGGGATAAGGTAGAGAGAATAAACAAGGAACCCCTATTCAATAAGTGACTAACGATTATTTGAGATGATGATAGTGCTATGAATTAATGACTGGGGTATGAGATAAGGGCAGTCAGGAAGATAAGGGCAACCAGAATGTGATCCAGGCTGAGCTCTGAGCATAGGAAGCACATAATTGGGCCACTTCTGCAGGAGGAAGCTGAGAACTATCAAATATAGAGTTATGGCATTGGAAACCCACTTGATATAGACAGAATATTCTAGGTATTGGGGTTCATAGGAGAAAGGGAACTGAAGCACTGAAGCCCAGTCTTGGGAGGAAGCCTGACCACAGTGGGTCTTCGGTATTATTATGAGAAGTATTAGTTTTTATCTAAGTGTTTTGAGGTGACAGTGGGGAGATTTGTGCTGGATTTTGGCGTCTCTTTAATGGTGCAAGAACTGCTTTGGCTGCTCTTTGCTTTTGAGTTGAAGGGGAATAGAGATATCAAAAACCTAAAAGGAAGACTATTCTAGAGTCACACAAAGGGTGATGGTAAGCTCTCCACTCATTTAATACATTCTCTTTGGCATCCTCTCCCTTTGTGCTAGCTCATACTGGAAAATAGCAAAAATGATTCACTCTCTGCCCCCCTGGACTTTCACCAAAGTAAAAGATACTGAACATGGAACAGAGACTCAGGTAGTGATATGATCTATAGCAGCTGGCATATTTGTTTGCTAGCACTGCCATAGCAAAATCTCCCAAACCAGCTGGCTGAAACAACAGATATTAATTTTCTCATAGTTCTGTAGGCTAGATGTCCAAGATGAGGATGTGGGAGGTAACAACACAAAACTAATGAACACATACACAAGAATAAAACAAAACAAAACAAGCTCCGAAACTATGGGAGCAATATTGCTATCACCTATCACCAAAAGAGAAGGGAAAGTTGTCTGGTGACAGGCAGAAACTGGACTTTTGCTGGTGAGCATAATGTCGACCATACAGATGGATCAGTTAGCATACTGAAACCTACATGTTATAAACCAATATTACTTCTATTTTTTTTTTTGGAAAAAGAGGGCAGTTTGTGTTTCTTCTGCAGCCTCTCTCCTTTCAGATATCATTTAGCTTTCCTTTGTTCTCCTAGTGTTTGCATGTGTTCAAATTTTCTCTGCTTTGACACTAGTTGGATCGAATAAAAGATCCAGTTTATTGGTCTCAGTTTCACATGTCACCTTATCTCTTGAAACAATCATGGTCTGAATCACTGGGGCATAAACATTGAATGGGGGGGCACAATTCATCATAGGAGAGATGTTATGCAGTGCTATAAAGAGACCCTGGGCTGGAGAGGTATCACAGCGAGTAGAGTGTTTGCCTTGCATGCTCCCGACCTGGCTGACCCGAGTTCAATTCCTCCGCCCCTTTCAGAGAGCTCAGGAAGTGATCCTGGAGCATTAAGCTCTGCCAGATATGTCCCTTATAATAAAAGGACAGAGAAGTGAAGACATTTAAGGAGATGTGGGCAGTAGAGCCACGTGATTCTCTTTAGTGGAAGGATTGGATGGTAAAGACCTCGATAATGGGGCACACCCAGATTTCTGGCTTAAGCAACTGGTATTACTGGCTGAAGATACGGGGTCCAGAGACAATTGAAATTGGACCTCAGAGATGCCTTGCTGGGGATTCTATAGAGATCATGGGGGTGGGATGACATCACGAGTCACATATCCAGCCTGTGGCATCTAGCAGTTCTTTGATCTAATAATACACTTCTGTGTACTCCAGCTTAATGTTCATGCATTTCTGACCACTCTGATTGTTAAGAATGTTTCTCTATTGAGAAATATGCATTCTCTTTATATCCTTAGGCTTTTAAATAATCCACTTCTGTCCTCTACAGCATGCCTTCTGTTAACATACGGTCAGCATTTATCAATAAGTGATCTCACTAAATATGCCCAAAGTTGCCGAGAGAGCGCCTGATTTGCAGTTGTATTCTCCATTGATTTCAGCTGAAGTTACAGCTTTGCGTGCCTGCCTTCATAGGCTCCAAACACGAGGTGGAGAGACAGGCATAATACTCAGAGGAAATTATTTTCTCTTGCAATCAGAAGCCTCTCATCTATATTTTATAGTCCATTTCACATTTCTATGTTATTCTAAAAGTATTGTAGCCATAGTCACCGTCCACTGTTTTTGTCTTGGAGTTCGCCATGGAGGGCTTCTGCAGAGATAACTGGGTGTTATAAATGTCAGCACACATTTTCACTCTGTTTCAAAGGTTCCGGCCACCAAGTTAGCTTTTTGCATATTTATTTTTTCAAAAATATTTCTCCCCCTGCTGCCATCTCGTGGGGCCAAGCCACTAAGCCCATGGTCTGTCTCCACCATGTTTCTAATGTACATACTGCACTTGCTTTTCTATTGTTTGGTTTCCTACTGAGCACTGTCAGGCTTAAAGAGCGAGAAAAAAAGGGCAAAATAATATGTCTTCAGAGACTGCACTGACATCTGCAGGAGCTTAAATGTCACCCACAGCAAGGTGTTTGGCCCTGAGTGCATAGTCATTTTTCTCTTAACCCCGTTCATCTGTTCATCCCAATAGAATCTCACTTTGAGGGGGCTGGATATTAGGGGTGCAGAGCGTGGTGAGGATGGCAAGTCACAAGCCCTGAGTTGGTTACTTCTCTGGCTCTGAGGGAGGCTCTGTTTGCTGAAGGCTGATGAGTGGAAGCTGGTGGAAGCATCTCTTTCCTAGTAGAGTGCAGACAGGAGAGGGGCAGAGGGTGGAGGGTTCAGGAAGGAACTTGGCAGTGGAGAGTGAAGCTTCAAGAACAGAGAACTGAGTGAAGGCATGCAGAGAGGGCGCTCAGCAGAAGGGCAATCTGGATGGGTTCCTGAAGTGGAAAGGAGTGGGGTGATTCCCACCTGAATGGGTGTCATCATCACTGAGCAAGAGGACCTTGCAGGTTAAGACTGGTCGAAGAAATTATTCCAGATGACTTGCATAAGACCTGTGTCACAGAGACCACAAGGCTGCAGACAATGTTTTGCTATGTCGGCACGCTATTAGAATCAAATTCAGTCAAGACTTTAGAGTAAAAGATTGCACACAGAATCTGGAGTCATATTTGCTTTGAGAAATCAGGTGATTGGCTCTTCCATACTGAGTGCTTTCAGAGGGCCTCCTCCAGCTGGATTTAAGTACCAGCTTCTTCATTTCTGAAGGGCTTGGAGTCCTACTCCAGTTCGATGAAATCCCCACCTCTCCTTGCTTCCCCAGTCCCACGGGTTCTCAGAAGGGGGGTGGTGTTTTGGTTTGTTTTTGTTTTGTTACAACTTGATTTTTTTCCCCCTGACTATCTGGCTCTTAGAAACATGTCGGTTCCACAGCTCTGCTGAACATCATCAGTGTTATAATGCTGGGTACCAGGACACCTCTAAGTTCTCGGTGAATGAACTGAAAAGGAGGGACTAAAAGGGATTGGAGAATGAAAGAATGAAGGCTGAAAAATCTGATGAGGGTGAGAGTGGACAGAAAGTAGCTGTGGAGGCTCATCTAGAGGAGAGATCCTTCTAATGGCACGCACCCAGAGGCACGCCATTGGCCCAGAGTTGCCCACAGCAAGAAGCATCCCTTTGTTAGACTCCCTGCGGAGTCTCTGGGCGTTGGTGCTCAAACTGCTCCTCTTCTCTCTATATGCCTGATGCTCCTTTTTGCGTTAAGCCAGTGGGAGAAGTGGGTTCACTGAGTTTATGGTAGTCCCCTTGAAAAGGAGACTTCAACTGCCAGTTCTCAAAATTACTTTAACGAAATTAAATTACTTTAACAAAATTTGTAAATTACAAAATTACATACACGAAACCATACAAGAGCATCAAAGCAGTATGACATTGGCTGGTGGGAAAATGCTGGCCTCGCCAGCTCCGAGACGCCCACAAGGAGGGCTCCCCTGGCGCCCTCAGGCTCTTGACCTGTAGGGTCCTGAGAATTGCAGCAGTGGCCTTTGAGCTGTAGCCATATGTTTCTGAATCCAGGCAGAAGCTGAGGGTTACAACCCACAGGTCCATCTCGTTCTTCCAGGTGGATGGCATTTGCTGAGCTTCACAGGTGGTGGTACCAGATAGGAGCGCCAAAGTTCAAAGAGCAAAGGCCGGGCGAAATGGCAAACGGGGTCTCTATGGTCAAATGCTCAAGTGCATCCAGAGGGTGTCAGCACTACATGCCTAGGAGCCCTGTCATTGACCTGTGGGTCCAGGTTGTCACCAGCAGCGTCCCTCTGCCCAGGAGACTGGGGAATGTACAAGCTAACTTGGAATGTGGGTTGAAAAATGCACCAGCACTGAATTCTCTTTCTGCATCTTAGTTTTTTTTTAATTTAAAGAGATTTTATATTTGCATAATAGTAATAATATTAACATTTATATAAAATACTATCAATTCATAAGAGTAAAATATTAAATATTTCATTGACAGAACAATTCTAAAGTAACAAGTGTCTAATAACACGGTCTCATGATATATAAATTAATTATATATAAATTAATTCAAATCACATGTGGGCAACTGCAGTTAATCTGCTAGAGTAAAATAAAAAATTAAGAGCTAAAGTATCAGGTCCCCACAAAAAGTGTAAAAGGGTCCCCTGGTTCTACACCTAGTGACAACCTGATTGACTGGGTCAATGAAGGGCAGAGTAACCCTATGTATAGGACATGTAGTTACAAAGTGCCTAGCACTAAATTCAGCAGTGTTCTGGGTACTGTGTTGTGTCAGGGATTGAACTTGGTTCTCCCATGCTTCTTGACCCCCTTGTCATCTTCCGAAGGCCCTAAACTTAAACTTGTAAGATTTGTAAGACTTTTTGTGCATAAAATCCTAAAAATCTTGAAATGAGACAAAAGTATATAATATATCATGGGTTTCAATGCTTAGAATCATAAATTTAAAGATGTCAACTGTTCCCAAATAAATCTATAAATAAAATATATCACTAGCACAGCAGTAGGGCATTTGCCTTGCGTGCAGCCGGCCTGGCCGAGCTGGGTTCAATTCCTCCGCCCCTCTCAGAGAGCCTGGCAAGCTACCGAGAGTATCTCACCCACCGGGCAGAGCCTGGCAAGCTCCCCATGATGTATTCAATATGCCAAACACAGTAACAGCAAATCTCTAAATGGAGACATTACAAGCAAATCGATGAACAACGGGAGGACAGTGCTACAGTGCTACACCTGCCATCCCATTGCTCATCAATTTGCTTGAGCAGGCACCAATAACGTCTCCATTCATTCCTGTTGCATGCTAGTGTAGCCCAATGGTGTCTCCTTGACCCAGGAATATGAAGAGCATCAAACCGTTCATTCAGGGTTTTGACGAAGGAGTCCAACCATCTCATAGGTGGGTGGCCAGGCGGTCTTTTCCCTCCCACTAGCCCCAGTTTCCTCTTCTGAATAAGGGGAGTATTGCTAAATTCTATCAATTGGGGTTTGAGCCTTTCAGAGACCTGGATCTATGTCTTATATAGGGATGTATAAGAACCCTCTTTCTGTCTACTTAGTTGTAAAAAAAAAAATTAAAATTAAAATCCTGTAACTGCTCACATCCTTAATTTCCTGAACTGTGAAATGGGGGTATAGCCCCACTTATGCAGGTCCATGAGAGATGCATGAAATGCCTGTGGGAAGTGCTGAGACAATCACGGCCTCAATGGAGAGATTCTTTGCTCTCCATCCCCAGGTCTGCCCTGTGCCCATCCTGACTGGCAGCAGCTGTGTGGGAAGTGGTGCGGGCTGTTGAATTCTGTCCTCATGTGCTCTTTGCTTTTTCTCTTAGGAAAAGCACCTCACTTTCTGCGGCTCCAAAATGTCGAGGTAAACGTGGGGCAAAATGCCACATTTCAGTGCATTGCCGGTGGGAAGTGGTCTCAGCATGACAAACTTTGGCTCCAGGTAAGGAAGAAAAACTTCTCCCCTTGGTCCCTGCCCAGCCCTTGGTTAAGGGAAGGAAGTGTGCCATAAGGGAGGACTTGGTGGGGAAGAAGGTGAAGGGGGACTATTTTGGGTACCTCTGCTCCTTGCATGGTGTTCCATATCTGAGCTTGTTAAATCATGACTTGTATTCTGTTTATATAGGTATCAGGATGCTTATTTTATAGGTGCAATTATAAACCTACCTGAACTAGACTTTGAAACTCTGAACATCCCAAGTTGCCCTTTCCAAAACTTTGTCCTTTGATCTCAGATTCACAGGGCTAAGGAAAAGTCAAGTAGATTCTGTGTCTGTGGCATCATAAAATCTTGACTGATGGGAACTTGGACTTCCATTGGTCCACTAGTTTCCTATCTGACATGTAATGCTCCTCCATTTTACCAGAAGATTCTATTTAATGAACCAGGCCATTTGTTCTGTGGTTGAACAGCTCTCTCAGGAAGTTCTCCAGGAAGTCTTTCAAAGGTTGATTCCATTTCATTCTCATTATTGCACTTTCGTCCCACTTGCAAAGCTAGATGAGGCAGGATCTCTTTCACAGAGGTAGGGAAGATAGGTAGATATAGAAGCAGAAACAATTTTGACAATATCAAGCATATTAATTACAAAGAAATATTAAGTGCCAAACTAAGTAATTGGCCCTTTAGTACAGTAATTATGTGTGGCTATTCTGTTTGCTGCTCTTTTTATTCCATTTTAAATTGCTTTCCTGAAGTGTGACTTCAACAGAGTATTTAAAATGTATAATGTGGTAAGCTTTGGCATATGTATATCTGTGAATATATAGCCACAACCAAATTAATGGACATATCCACCACCGCTAGATGTTTCCTTCTCCACTTCCAATCCCTTATGTCTTCCCTCTTACTCCATCTGTTCCCAGGCATCACTGATCTCTTTTTGGCATGACTTATTAGTTTATTCTAATACTTTATATGAACTGAATCATGCATTGTGTTCTCTTTCACTCAGCCTAATTGTTTTGAGTCATCTGTGATGTTTATATAAACATAGATTATTATTTTTTGTTGATTAATATTTCTTTGTGTGAGTAAATTCCAGTATCCATTTACCAACTGATGGTCCTTTGGGTTGTCTTGTTTCTGGCTATCACTTCAGCACTTGTTCTAAATATTCATGGAAAAGTCTCAATATGTCTGTATGCTTTCTTTTCTCATTGTAAATATCTCTAAGTGGAGTGGCTGGGTTTCCTGGTATATGTATGTCTAACTTTTTTTTTTTTTGCTTTGTGGGTCACACCGGCAATGCACAAGGGATTACTCCTGGCTCTTCACTCAGGAATTATTCCTGGTGGTGCTTGGGGGACCATATGGGATGCTGGGTATTGAACCTGGGTCAGCCGCATGCAAGGCAAACCCCCTACCCACTGTGCTATCACTCCAGCCCCTGTATGTCTAAATTTTTGAGGAACTCCCAAGCTGTTTTCCATAATGGTTGTACCATTTTGCATTCCCATTGTTGTGTTCTAGTTGCTCTGTCCTCGCCAACACTTGGTATGGTCAATCATTATTTTCACTTCCCTCACATAATCTTTTCAAGTGCTCACTTGTCATTTGTATATTTCTCTTGGTAAATATCTGATTAAATATTTTTGCTCACTTACTGTTTTATTATTATTGAATTTTAGAAGTTCTTTGAAGTCTGGAATTTTGAAACACTTGTTCATCTAGATACAAGTCGTTTATCAAATGTTTGCTTTGAAAAGATCTCTTCATCTTTGGTATCTCTTTTCACTCTCTTAACAGTATCATTTGAAGAGTAAGGTTTTTGGTTTGTTTTTGTTTTGGGGACTCAGCTGTGCTCAGGGCTTACTCCTGTCTCTGCTCTCAGGGTACACTCCTGGCAGAGCTCAGGGTATCATATGCAGTGCCAGGGATCAAACCCAGGTCAGCTGCATACATGTATTCTGAGTACCTGATATACTATCTGTTCTGGTCCCACAAGTTTTCAATTTGAATGAAATCCAATTTACGTTTTCTTTCCTTCTTTGGATCTTATCTTGGTATCATTTCAGGAAATATTGGCCTTACCCCAGGTCACAAAGATGTTCTCTGAAGATTCTCTCTAGGAATTTTATCATTTAAGATTTACATTTAGGTAAAAGATTCATTTGGAGTTATAGTTTGCATGTGGGTTGAAGTAAGGATCCACATCCTTTTCTGTGTATGTGCAATTGAATACTCAGTTATCCCAACATTGTTTATTGAAAAACCTATTTTTTTTAATGGATGTTAGATCTTGGAAATCTTTTGCCAGACTTAATAACCTATGATCGATGCTTTGTAAAAGGCATTTAAAAATATCTCAGTTTTTGATTTGGCATTACTAGCATATAAAAATAAATTGATTTTTCAGTATTAATTTTATATACCTCCATCCTGTTTAAATGTACTGTTTACACCTAATTTAAATTAATGAAAATAAATAAAATCCAGATGCCCAAACTCAGTAGGCACATTTTATTTTTTATTTTATTATTATTTTTTGCTTTTGGGGTCACACCCTGTGATGCACAGGGGTTATTCCGGGCTCTGTATTCAATAATTACTCCTGGCGGTGCTCGGGGCACCATATGGGATACTGGGAATCAAACCCGGATCAGCCATGTGCAAGGCAAACGCCCTCCCTGCTGTGCTATCACTCTAGCCCCCAGTAGTCACATTTTAAATACAGAGTATCCATAGCCACCTACTGGTCATTGTGTTGGGCAAACAGATGAGAATATTCCCAGCACCTTGAAAGTCTTACTGGAGAGTAGGATTTTAGCTATAGACAAATATTGCCTCTGATTCAAGGACCAGAGCATATCTTGAAAGATATTTCCTCCATTTACCTCCAGAGCTATATACTAAAGATGGCTGTTATTGTTTCTAGCTGATACAGTTTGGACGTTGGGCTGGAGCGATAGCACAGCGGTAGGGCGTTTGCCTTGCGTGCAGCCAGCCTAGCCGAGCTGGGTTCGATTCCTCTGCCCCTCTCGAAGAGAGCTGCAAGCTACCGAGAGTACTTGCCTGCACAGCAAACCCTGGCAAGCTACCCGTGATGTATTCAATATGCCAAACACAGTAACAACAACAACAACAAGTCTTATGATGGAGACGTTACTGGTCCCGCTCGAGCAAATCAATGAACAACAGGAGGACCGTGATGGTGACTGTGACAGTTTGGACGTTAATCTCTAACCCATGCCCAGCACACATTGCTCCTGGGCATTGATCCTATCACTTTACTTCCTGTACTTGAGCCATTTAATGCAGGGGGAAAATGTCTAAGGTGAGAGCACTTTGAGGGCCTAATGATTCTTCCTTGCTCCATAGCTGTGCAGTTGCATGAAAATAACAGATATGCCTTCCCCACCTACTTTCTGGCCCTGCAGACAGCCCTCGAGGGAGACCTAGCAAACTTGCATGTGTCACTGGAGAAGTACTCAGTGTCATTTACTCCCTTATTACAATTTGTAGTAAAAAGCAGCAGGCTCCTCCCAAGTTTTGCCACTTTAATGGCGTCGACTCTGTGGGGTGGAGGGAATGAGGCAGGACATTCACAGTACCTTCAGTCGCTCTGGGTGGGTTTTCAATTATTTTATTATTGCTCAAGTTGTAAGTGGTGTGCCTCAGACCCAGGCTCTTTCTGTGAGAGCATGTTCAAGCCAGATGCAATTAAAGTTTGGAGGAAAACAGAACCACAGTGTGCCATGTTGTCCTATTTATCTGCATTTCTGTGTAAATCAAATCTTATTTCACAGAAGGTGTGGTGAGGTTACTTACCCCAGGACAGAAAACATGACAAGATGGCAGAAGTGAAATGTGGGCCATAGGCACCTGAGTCAGGATCACCCAGCAGGGCGTGTCTTCGAGCTGTCCCTGTCTTTGCCCACCTTCCCCCCCTCCTGTGAGTCTCCAGCAGTGCCCACAGCTGTGTAGCCTCTGATGGAATCAAGAAAGCTTCTCAGCGTCCATGAGATCAGTGCACACGCGTGCGTGCGCCCGCACGCACACACACACACACACACACACACACACACACACACACACCTGATTGCAAATCGTTCAGGGACACCTAATGGTCGTTCACACGGAGGCCAGAAAAGAATTGCTCCCAGGGGTCCTCATGGAGCAGAGGGCGTGGGATGTTAGAAGCCGTGTGTACAGTTCTTGTCTGATTGTAGACACTTTCTTGCAGAGCCCAGCATGCGTGACACTGGCTGCTCCTTTATGAAACTGGAATGCAGGGAAGTGGCCAAAGAGAGTTTGATGGGTAGTTCCATCTGGGACAAAGGTCCCCAGACTCTACTGATCAGCCCCCATCAGAACCTTCCTGTCATCTTGTTTCCCATGGTGGGAGTTCAGGAAATATTGGGAGGTAAAGCATTCATGCAACACTCTTCTGCAAATGCCTGTTTTGCCAGGCGAGTCCAGGCTTATAGTCACCAGTATGGCATCATCTTTCTCCTCAATGTGAGGGGCCCATGGTGATGCTTCAGCAGCCAATTTTAACCCCACTCATTGTGGCCAGCACCATGGCTGACTTCCCCTCAAATGCTGCTTGAGATTTGACCCTGCAATCCAAATTACAATCAGATCCGCCAGAGCTCTGTGTCATGTCGCCGAGCTTAAGTAACTTAGACTATTTCCAAAGCAGGGGAAATAGGCTGATGGTGGCAGAATCTCCACAAGGGACCTGCAGTAGCCTGGCATTCCACTTTCTTGCTTTCATTTTCAGTATAAGCAGCACAATCACGGGTTTGCCAACAGTGGGAGCTTTGCCATGTACCAGTTAAGTCAGATAAATCAAGGCTGCGAGTTTGCTCCAAGAGAGTGGGCTACCAGTGATGGTTGGGAACCTCTGTGTGTGTGTGTGTGTGTGTGTGTGTGTGTATGTGTGTGTAATGCAGCAGGGGTAAGATAAGTCATGGTTGCTGGGGTGCCAGGAATGCAAA